CTTGCTATTGTTATGGGTTCACTCAGCAAGATAGACCACCGACTCAGAATTTAAATTTAAGAGCCTTTATTAAGCTGGCCAGCTGACTACAGTCACAGCACCCCGCCAAAGCAGAGGCTGAACTGCAGCCCAGACTACAGGAATTACAGTATTTTTATTTGCAAAAACCACAAAGTTACAAAACCTTAGTTCCCGACACAGTATAGCATCATACAGTGACTACCTTCCTACCTATGTGTTCTAGGAACAGAGAGCACAGCTGCTGGGAAGGGGCCATGAGACCATATCTCAAGGCCTGGCCTGATGTCAGTACCTTCCTATCTGTGTGTTTTAGGAACAGACAGCACAGCGCACCCGTCTGGCCGAAGTGCCAGATGTGCAGCCCAGTACAATAACACTGACTGTGTGGGCTCCTGTCTCGAGAGTAGGAGGTTCTGGAAGGCAGGCCTCAGGCCCCGCTCAGATATGTTACCAACACTGACCCCTCACCAGGGCTGGCACAAAGGAAGTGCTCGATGTGGCCCTCAGTTGTTTTGGTTTCAGGACCTCTTTATACTCTTAAGAATTACTGAGGACCCCAAAAAGGTTGTTTTTTTAACATGGATTATATCCAGTTATATCTGGTTAGAAATTAAATGGAGAAAAATGTAAAGCATAACACCCAAGCCTTTAGGCCACACAGCCCATCAGAGTGACGCCATCTGCCATGATGAATCACGCGGCCTCTAGGAAACACTCCGCTCATGGAAGAGAGACGGCGACAAAGTAAACAACAGCTTAGTGTTGATACGAAAGGAGTCAAAACCCAGTCAGCCCTGGGTTTGAATCCAGCTCTGCTGTGCGATGTGGGGCAGTTACTTATCCTCCCTGGGACTATTCTTCATCTGTAAAATAGAAATAACTCTACAGGGGTGGGCAACAGTAGGTTTGCAGCTATTTGTATGGAAAATAATAAATAATAATACAATAATAAACTCTGTGTTTCACATACTCAAAACAGTAAACCTACTTGTGCTCCATCTCAGAGCCATTATGATCATTAAATAGCACTTATAAACTGTGGATCACTGTTCCTAGCCCATCAGTGCCTGATAACAGTGGACAGAAATGGTGGCTTATTTTTTTTAATGTAATTTTATTGATTTCTGAGAGGAAGGGGGAGAGAGAGAAACATCAATCACGAGAGAGAATCATAGATCGGCTGCCTCCTGCACACCCCCCACTGGGGATGGAGCCCACAACCCAGGCATGTGCCCTTGGCCGGAATCGAACCTGGGACCCTTCAGTCCGCAGGCTGACATTCTAGCCACTGAGCCACACCGGCTACGGCAGAAATGGTGGTTTAGATGTGTAGGATGGTGTGGTGAAAGCAGCGTCCTGGACCACAAGTCAAGACACCTGGTGTTGGAGTTCTGGCTCTCCCACTAGCTCTCCCACCATGATCTTAGGAAGACGCATGCTCTTCCTGGGTCTGGTCTGCCCGCCTGGGATCTGGAGGTACCTTGGGAATTGTCACGAGAGAAAGGGGGGGGGGGCTGAGCAGCTGAGCCCCACTCTCATTTGATCAGCTTTTATATACTA